CTCATCCAGAATGAATCTCAGCTGAACTGTGCTGCTTAAAAGCCTAAAAGCTTAACCAGCCTCTAGTTCCTGGTCCTCATGCCTTATATACCTATCTGCTTCCTGCCATCACTTCCTGGGATTAAAGGCTTGAGTCACCATGCCTGGCTGTTTCCAATGTGGCTTTGAACTCACAGAGATCCGGATGGGTCTCTGCCTCCAGAATACTAGGATTAAAGGTGTGTGTGCCACTATTTTCTGGCCTCTATATCTAGTGGCTGTTCTGTTCTTTGATCCCAGATAAGTTTATTAGGGTGCACAATATATTGGGGAACACCATATCACCACAAACTATCATACCTTCTGAAGCCAAAAGTTAACCCAGATGGGAACCACTACTCTAGACCTACTTTGATTTGCCAAGTGATGGCTCAACCCTAAACCAGTCTCCCAATATCTCCAAATCTCCTTTAGGAGGGCCTGTTGCAGACAAGCCCATGCATTGTCTTAGGAGAGATTACATTGTTCTAGAAAGAGTAACAGGCTTGAATAGGGACAGCAGATTCATGTTTCAATGGTGGCTGTGCCAACTCATTTATTTGGGGCCCTCAGACAATATTATTAATTTCCCGGAGTCTCCTTTCCCAATTGTAAATGACAATTACAAGGTGGCTTTCAGGGTGAAGTATTCTACCAGCAGTCTACAAGAACTGGGACACAGTGCCTGGCACACTAGACGAGAACAAGGTCAATTCTCTCTCACTAATGATGAAACCAGAATTCCTGGGAAAGGAGACCGTTTTGCCAATGGGAACACAGGGGAGCTGAAATGTAGAACTGGGAAACTCAGGCTTGAACAAGTCAGCATCAACTGGAGACTTCATGACAAGCTTTGCCAGGAAACTGCAGGCCTCCCCAGAGGCCAGGAGTCTCTGGATTCTAGCTTTGCATAGGGCTGAACCATGAGAAAGACAACTGGATGGCTGGGATCCAAAGAAACCCAGGGCGGAAAGAGGTGGTGAGAGTCAGACTTGTCCGAGACTCCGGGTGAGTTTCTTAGAGTTGGAAAAGGGGCTCGGAATCTCTCCTGTCCCAGATTCTAAGGATCTTATTTCTCTAATCAATCTTTCCAGAAGTTTCTTTCTTCCGAATGCCTTTGGTGATGTTAACTCTTTAAGAAATGCAAAAGAGTTGTGGGCAGGGGGCTATGAGTTCTCTTCCCTGGAAAAACATCTTGAAAAGCTTTAGCACACAGCAAGGCAATGCATTTTTCAGAACAGCTCTCAAAAAACTTTTAGTTAAAAATTTCCACTTTAAGTGTTAATTTTGCCCATGAGGCATTATTATTTCTTGGACGATGTCCATGACATTATAAGTGAACTAATACTGAGCTTTGTATAGTTTCTATCTTATTTCTGAGTGTAATACGGGTTGAAAAAGTATGAGTCGTGAAAAGTAAACTCAAACATCCAAATTGAGAAAGTTTATTTCCAACCTCTTTTCATTGCTTTCTAATTTGAGCACTAATTATAACAAAATTGAAGAGTGCCACATGCATGAAGATCAGAACATATTTATCTACAATACCACTCACTACAACCATCACTTCCAACAACAACAATGAATATCTAGAAACAACCAACTCTCTCTTCTGGATTAAATCATGTTCACAAAGAAATACTAAGGCTTAGCCCCAGTACCTCAGCTGTGATCTTTCTAAATAAAGGGACTGGAGAGACGGCTCAGTCGGTAAAGAGCTGGCCACATGAGCATGAGGGCCTCAGTTCAATCCCCAGCACCCACATCAGAACCAAGCATGGCAGGATGCACCTGTCATCGAGCACTGGGGAGGAGACAAGAGGATCCCTGAGGCTTGCAGGCCAGCCAGTCCAGCCTCAGCAGCAGGCGCCAGATTCAATGAGAGATGCTGTCTTTAAAAGGAAGACGGAGCCGGGTGGCAGTGGTACACACCTTTAATCCTAGCACTCGAGAGACAGAGCTAGGCAGATCTCTGTGAGTTCCAGGCCAGCCTGGGCTACAGAGCGAGATCCAGGACAGGCACCAAAACTACGTGGAAAAACCCTGTCTCAAAAAACAAAACAAAACAAAACATAAGATGGAGAGTAACTGGGAAAGACAGATAACGTTGACCTCTGGCGTATACACATACATGCACACATACATACACCAAAAGACAGATAACGTTGACTGCTGGTGTATACACATACATGCACACATACACACACCAAAAGACAGATAACATTGACCTCTGGCGTATACACATACATGCACACACATACACACACCAAAAGACAGATAACGTTGACCGCTGGTGTATACACATACATGCACACATACACACACCAAAAGACAGAGCTGAAGAAAGGAGAAAAGAGGAGACGAAAGGAGAGGAATAGACAAAAGGAACAGAGACTTTACAGATATTGTCAAGATGAAATCTTTGAGAAGGATGGTCTTAATCCAGTACGAATGCTTTCTTTATATAAAAGAGAAATTTGAAAATTTACCTAACTGTATGTGGGAAGATTGTATGAAGGAACATCAGGACAAAGCTCTGTGCTGCTATTCGATTGCTGTGATAAAGCATCATGACCAAGGCAAAAAGGGAGGGTTTGTTTGGGGCTTACAGTTCCCGAGGGATAGGAGTCCATCGCTACCATGGCAAAAAGTAAGGCAGCATGCAGGCAGGCATGACGCTGGAGCAGCAGCTGGGAGCTCACTTCAGGATCCCGGATGTAAAAATGATGAGATAAAAGGGTAGATTATTGAATCCACTTTAATTCAAAAAGCAACTATTAATCTCAAAATATTTTACATTGGTATGGGTTTTGGTTTATTAGTACAAACTTGAAGTTAATTTTGTTATACCGTATTACATATGTTCTACTCTTGTTTGGGGTATTATGATTATGCAGCTCATTTAAAAATGTAATGTAGGGCTGGAGAGATGGCTCAGCCGTTAAAGGCTAGGTTCACAACCAAAAAATGTAATGTATAATTAAGAAATACGGGTTAGTAGTTAGTCATCTATAATAATCAAGCTTGTAGGCATATTAAGTATGTTTTCAAGGCTAAACAGATGTATTTAGATACATTTTTATGGCATAAGATAGCCATTTGAACAAAGAAACTGCCCTTGCCTTAACTGCTGACAGTATACTGTACAAACTAGACCAGCAGGACACACACACACACACACACACACACACAAAGTGGTCCCCAAACTTTGCCAAGACAAGGTAAGACAGTCCTTCAAAATTCCCTGCTTCTCAGAAATGTCTGTCAGATATACCATGTCTGTAGACCAAAGTTGGATTCCTCCAACATCACAGAAGAACCTGCAGTGACTGTCTAGGTGGCCTGATGTCCCTGTCACTAGGTAACATTTCACCCTTCTGGAGTCTTCGATAGAGTTGAAGATTACATAGTCATAGTTAAAGTTTTAGTTATGATAAGGTATATAAAAGGTAAATTAGGTATAAAACTTGAGTCATAAAAAGTAAGATAAATAATAGAGTATTTTCTCTAAATTTGCCAAATACAAATGGAATGGCTATTGTAACTGTAATTCTTACTTAATAACTGTTTTATTGTATATAATTTTACTATGTTAAATTTAAAAACTTCCTTTCTAATTAAGCAAAAAGAGGGACATGTGGAATATTCCTTTACACTATGTGAATATATCTCACCATTACTGGTTTAATAAAGAAGCTGACTGGCCAATAGCTGAACAAGATGAGGTTAGGAGGGAGAGCCAAACTGAGAATGCTGGGGAAAAAGGAGGGCAGAGTCAAGAGAGTCGAGAGACAGACACAGAGAGAAGCAAGAGGGACACGCCATACTGAGAAAAGATGCCGAGCCACATGGCAAGGCATAGGTAAGAAATACGAGTTAATTTAAATGTAAGAGTTAGCTAGCAACAAGCCTGAGCTATTGGCCAGATTTTTATAATTAATATTAAGTCTCCATGTTGGTTATTTGGGAACTAGCGGTCTCAACAAAAATTCTGCCTACAGATCCACAAACAGGAAGCAGAGACGGCACACTGGGGAATTTCAAAATCTTCCCCAATACCTCCTAATGCTTCCCAAACAGTTTTGCCAACTGGAGGCTAAATAAGCAAGCATGTGAGCCTCCGGGGGCCATTCTCATTCTGACCATCACACTGTGTGATGACTGAGAATCGAAGCAAGCCAAGAAATGCTCAGATTTGTCAGCAAGCAACCAGAGGCCATGAAGAGATGAGGAGAAATTCCCCTACAGATTTTAGACTGAAGACAGCTCTACTAATACCTTCATTTTGGTCTTTCCTTGACGGAGTTGTAAGTTAACAAACTTGTGTTTGTTTTTACACAACGGAGTTTGGTGGTACTTGGTTAAACCAGCCATAGAAAACTAGTACAATGTCCAATGACAAAGATGTTTTACTAAAACCGTGAAACATAACCACCAAAAGTGACATTTGAAATGATTTTATGGACATATGGTAAATATTATAATGCATGTGATAATTCTATAAGTGACCGAAGAACATATTAGAAATGGCATATACTCTGAGTATCATAATAAAAATGTTTCTGGGATGATTTGTTGTAAATATTAGCACATGTATTTACATTTCCTGCTTTCAGTTGCGTCTGCTTGCAACCCTTTATTTCTTAGATGACATCAGTAGTGTTTGCGTGGGTGAGCAGTGTAGTAGATGCTATGGTCAGAATAAAGTAGCTATGGTTAAGTTTGCATCTAGGAACCAATTTTCTCAGCTATTAGTGTCCATTTGGTCCTGAAAGTCAGGCTTGGTGGAGCTTTAGGAAGAAGTGTCTACACAGCAAAATGCCCTCATTAAAAGTGCCGAAGACAGGGGCTTGGCAACTGAACCATAGTTCCAGTTAAGGAAGGTCCATATACAGCGAGATAAAAGGATGCTTGTGAGTCAGGTGAGACAAGGCTCAGGGGAAGAAGGCTTCCGGTCCACCTCACAACTGACCCCGGAAGGAATTTGTCCTAAGCCAAACCGGAAGCTGCCCCATCAGTCAGTACTATGACGTAGTATAGATACCGGAAGGGCTTTCGGAGGATACCCTGGATCATGGCGGCTTAGATCAGACCCAGAAATTCTTGGATGCCCCTGCAGGCACACACAGACGCCCGCAGAGCGGAGAGATCACCCTGGAGTGAGGATCAGAAAGAGAGGAAGAGGCTGGGGCCAAACGGAGCTCATGGTGCAAACCCTAAGGGTCAGTGAGAATCAAATCGAGGGACACTAAGCAGGTAGGGTGACTCCAGATGGCCCCAGCAGACAGCCTCAGGTTCAGGGGCCAGCCACAGACACTGCAGTATTGGTCCTGCCTTCCCAAGAAGCCGTAGGTGGAATAATTCTGCAACAGGAACCAATAGCAAGAATTCCAAGCAAACTCCTGAAGATCCAAAGCCCAGATCTTCTATGAGAAGAGCTTAGGTGAACAGGAATGAGAGCCCATCTCTGTGTCTGAACATCTATAAACATCGATTAACTGATCTCGTCAAAGGAAACACTCAGTTAGCAAAAATCTCCTGTGATGGGGGAATGTCTTTCTGTATGCTGTGAAAATATGTTGCTCTGATTGGTTGATAGATAAAGCCATTTGGCCCATGGCAAGGCAGCTTAGAGGTAGGAGGAAAATCCAGATAGAGAGGAAGGAGAAAGACAGAGCAGAGAAGCAAGATGTAAAAGTACCAGTAAGCCACATGTCACATGGCAAAGTATAGATTTATAGAAATGGGTTAATTTAAGATGTAAGAACTAGATAACAAGAAGCCTGCCATGGCCATAATTTAAAAATAATATTAGCCTGTGTGTGTTTATTTGAGTCCCAGTGGCTGCGGGACTGGTGGATGAGAGATTTGTCCTGACCGTGGGCCAGGCAGGACCAGGAAACCTTTCAGCTACACTCCTGCTTCACAGCATTCCCGGGCTGCTGAGGTGCAGCTTGATCCATGAGGAAGAGCGACTTAGTTTTATAAAGTCAAAAGTCTACACTTTTATTTTTTTATACAGCTGAGCAATTTTATAAGAAATTTTGTGAAGCTACATACAATGTAGGTATGTAGACAAAGATTTTAAAAAGTAATGTCCAAAGGGAAAACAGTTGAATTTTCTAAATTTTGCTTTGTATTAAAAAATGAAAACAAAAAAACAACCCTCCCAATTCCCTGTCCTTAAAGTCAGTTCCACAGCTGCCACTAAGCTTTACAAAGATACATCCCATAGTGTGAGCAAGTAAACGGCTCTCCGGACAAGGACTACCTCCCATCTAAAAGTGTCAGTAAAGTGAGAGGCAAAAAGCTCTTCCCTTTTTTGCCGTGGGATGTTCTGTATGTTAAATGTGTTGCTCTGACTGGTTAATAAATAAAATACTGATTGGCCAGTAGCCAGGCAGGAAGTATAGGTGGGATAAAGAGAGAGGAGAATTCTGGGAACAGGAAGGCTGAGTGAGGAGTCGCGAGCCAGACATAGAGGAAGCGAGATGTAAAATTACCAGTAAACCACAAGCCATGTGGCAACTTATAGATGAACAGAAATGGGTTAATTTAAGATATAAGAACTAGATAGCAAGAAGCCTGCCACGGCCATACAGTTTGTAAGCAATATAAGTCTCTGTGTGTTTACTCGGTTGGGTTTGAGTGGCTGAGGGACTGGTGGGTGAGAGAGATTTGTCCTGACTGTGGGCCAGGCAGGACTGGAGAAAACTTCAGCTACACTTTTTGCCTTTATTTCATCCGGTTTTCTGGAATGATGAAGAGTAAAAGAGAAAATGGCTCAGAAAATCTTCCCCCCTTCACTCAGTCATTGTCTATGCATAGTCCACAGCCATCGTTAGAGAGCATCCTCTTCCTCTCCACCCAGAGCTAACACTCTCCAGACACCCTCCTCCTGGCCCACCCTGCGATTGCTTCTCCCTTTACACTCTTCGGAGCTCACGTGACACCACCCAAAAGTCATTCAAAACTGAGTGTGGAAAGAACTGCGTACATAGCTTGGTTTCTCACTTGGCTCCTTTTGAGAAGGAAGGCCAACTGACTCTTGGCTGAGAATGGGGCCAGTTTCACAATGGGAGAAACCCAGTCTGAAGGGAACATGACAGGGAGGTTTTTCTCTCTATTCCCTCTACTGGGCAAGAGTCCAGGCACTGGGACTCATCCCTTGATCTTCAAGATGCCTCTCTACCTTCGGGAATTACCTTTTAAAGTGCAGCCATGGCAGCCATGCTAACATGCAGCCATGCAGCCATGCAGCCTTGCAGCCATGTAGCCATGGTGATGGAAATGCCACCTTCACTCTTGATAAGCATCACTCTCTGTTTCCCTGAATTGATGAGGTACTGCAAGGCCCAAGAGGACTGGAACACAGAAAGTGCTGGAAGGTTGGCAGAATCCAGTAGGCAGGAAGAGTAGGACAAAGACATCTGAGCATGATCCCCTCCTCAAGTAGTCTGTGAGTGGCCACTCTGCTTGGTACTTTACCATGGCACCTCATATTTCTCTCTTGGGAATCCTCTGGGGTTTAAATGGTTTAAGTGGTTTGATCAAGGCCATACAAACTGCAGAGGTCTGAGCTAGAACTCAAGCCGACAGCTATTCTGACTTAGACATCCGTGTGCTCTTTACTCTGTGTATGTGATTACAGGAGGTACATGGGGTGTTTGCTAAAAATACTAAAAATGATCCCAAGCATTTCTGCTTTTTAGACTGTAGGAAGTTATCTTCAGAAATAAACTGTAGGCCAGGCGATAGTAGACCATGCCTTTAATCCCAGCACTCCTGAGGCAGAGATAGGTGGATGTCTGAGCCCAAGGCCAGCCTGATCTACAGAGTGAGTTCCAGGACAGCCAGGGATACACAGAGAAACTGAGTCAAAAAACAAAAAGGGAAAGAAAAAAAGAAAGAAAGGAAGAGAGAGAGAGAGAAAGAAATAACCTGTAGCCAAGTGGGGGTGGTGCTCACCTTTAATCCCAGCACTCAGGAGGCAGAGCCAGGCGGATCTCTGTGAATTTGAGGTCAGCCTGGTCTACAGTATGAGAGGCAGGACAGGCTCCAAAACTACACAGAGAAACCCTGTCTCAAAAAAGAAAGAAAGAAAGAAAGAAAAAGAAAGAAAGAAAGAAAGAAAGAAAGAAAGAAAGAAAGAAAGAAAGAAAGGAAGAAAGAAAGAAAGAAAGAAAGAAAGAGAAAAGAAAAAAAAACTGTAGAAGCTGGAGAGATGGCTCAGCAGTTAAGAGCATTGGCGTCTCTTCCAGAGGACTTCGGTTTGATTCCCAGCACTTACAACCATCTGTAACTCCAGTCTCAGAGTATCTGATGTCGTCTTTTGACCTTTTCAAGTACTATATACACATGGTGCATAGACCTACCTATAGGCAAAGCATCCATGTACATAAAATAAAACGAAAAAAATAATTAAAAGAAATAAACCACAGATACCGCACAAAGATTTCACTAGGATGCTGTTCACTAAGGTTCTAGCTAGAACACAACGAAATGATGTGCTGGCAATTTTTTTAATCTGTTTTAAACATGGAAACTATTATTGTGTAACAAATTATCCTATTTATTTTATTTTATTTTTTCTCCCAAAAAGTATAGGTCAAGAACCCCAGAAAGGAGCAGCTGAGTTGATCTCACAGGAGCTCTTGCTGGCATCTGTAGTAGAGAGATGGGGTTGCATTGGCGGCGGCAGGGCCTTCCTGTGCCGTGTGCCGCGATGACTCCTGGGAGGTGAGGTCGGGTTGTTGACGACAGCCTCTGTACATGTTATGAGCGTCCTCACAACACGGACGTTTCCGGTTGCTGGACTTGCCTGGTAACTCAGAGCCCCGGCCCAAGTACAAAGAAGAACCAGGCAGAATCTGGACCTCAGATTTTGGGCCCACATTCTACCTGAAACAAACAAGGCACAAATCTGCCCACGTCCAGGAAGATGGTGAGATACTGAAACATTCACAACTACTTTTTAAGATGCCTCAGCACTTCTAAAGATCTTACCAAGTATAGTTATACTTTTGTTAACTACACATGTGGCCAGTAGGAGAAAAAAAAGACACAAATAAAAATTTAAGCAATTTTCTCTTGAATTTGGATACATTTCATTTTTATTTTTACCTAAAATTTTTATGCCAAATATCTATTAATTTCATGCTTCCCCCAAAAAAATCACAAACAAACACTTAATTTCTAAAGTTTGTTAAGAACGCTTATATTGCTCTCCAGTCTCCAACAGCTAGGCACCTTTCCCCACCTGCCCATCATCCGAGTCTCCAGGGAGCATTCTACCTCACAAGCTCACCCCTGTTCAGTGTCGTAGTCATGCCAATAAATCTCCTCAATGTCCTAGACCACTGGTTACCTGCCACGCCTAGCCATCCACAAGGAGCCTGGGAACACAGCGTGGGATGTGACATGTGCCACATGATGTGGCCTTCTCTGGAAAAATCCACAAGCCCATAAGGCTGCAATCACATTTCTTTGAATGTGGCTTTTTCTTTTCCCTCACCGAAAGTAAAGCAACAACAAGAATCTAGTAATTCCAGCCTTTGGGAATGTTTCTGTGGGAAGGGAAAAAAAATTATCAGTTAAGTCCTGTCAATCAAACAGTAGGCCAGGACTGGTAAGATCCATTATTTTTGGGCTGTCTTCAATGCCAATGTCAACAGCTACAGACAGAAGGAACAGATGTCCTTCAGTTAGGGGTGGGGGTGCACGCTAAACCCAAATATTCACAAAAGTCTCAGAGGCTAGACCTCACTAATGACCCCACTTTTTCTTCCCTCATCCCCTAAAACACTTAAAACTAAGGTCACCAGCTGTTGTATGGCATCAAGAGCTAAGGAATTTATGGCAAGAGTCCTATTTAATTACATCTCATGAAACTGATCCTGTGATATTGCAGACCTCATATATAAATATTATTTATATCCCTAACTTTCAGGAAAGCAAGTTCTATTTCACAGGCGTGCTGGAGGTCAGGGATCTGGCCCCGATGTTAAACATAAAAGGTGTTGTATAACACAGCTAAACAGATTACGGGCTGGTGTGCAGACATGGTTTTCTTCTCCACACAACTGTAGCTCTCCTCCTGTGACAAAGGAGAAAGAACGCCATTCAGTCCACATCTCCTCCGAGCCCTGAGTGCTTGTCTAAAGAGTGTGTACTTAATTCAGGGGGCCGTGGGGAGCCATTGAAGGCTTCCTGAGAAGGGAATGACATGGTCTAAACTATACCTTAGCATGATTAAAGGTGAAATTAGTAAGTGAAAAAAAACATATGTATAAAAATCTGGTTCTTTGAAAGGACTAATACAGTGGTTCTCAACCTGGGGGTTGAGACCCTTTTGGTGGTAACATTCACAAGCCTAAGACCATTTGCATACCAGATATTTACATTGCAGTTCATAACAGTAGCAAAATTACAGTTATGAAGTAGCAACAAAAATAACTTTATGGTTGGCGGTCAGCACAACCTGAGGATCTGTATTAAGGGCTTGCAGCACTGGGAAGGTTGAGAAGCACTGGACTAATAGAATGGGCTCTCTCCCAAACCTGATTAAGAAAATGAAGAGCGCTAGGCGGTGGTGGCACACGCCTTTAATCCCTGCACTCAGGAGGCAGAACCAGGCAGATCTCTGTGAGTTCGAGGCCAGCCTGGTCTACAGAGCTACACAGAGAAGAGAACAATTAAAACTTCTAGAGAAGCTTAAAAGACAGTAGAATATCACATACAACTTGCAAGACCCAGTTGAAGCCTATAGGGAAACCCATGGGTTTCCAGATGAACACTAGTCTTCATAGCTGATCCCAGGAGAAGGAATGACTATGGATGGGCCAAGAACACAGAGAGACCGAGAGGGACCACCTGTGGGTGAATCCAAGACATGTTGGACTGGGATTACTGATAAAGGGTAAGAAAGAAGTGGGTGAGGCTAATACTCTCTACTCTAGTTAACTGAATGAAAATCCTTCTTTTGCACACAGGGAAATCAAGAGAAGGAGTAAATCTAGGGGGAAGGCAATGTGTCAGCTGGGAGCATCACTAAGGTGTACCTGAATGGAGATACGCACCCAAGTGCTGTAATGTGATGGCTGCAAGCTGATGATGCCTTGACGATGCTAATCAGGATGGTGTGGTGCTAGGCAAAGAGAAATAAGTCTTATTCATTCTACTGCATATTGTCTGAACTTTAAACACTCGTGTCATTTTATAGCATATAAAATACAGTAGTAGCACAATTCTAACATCCTCAACATATGTATAAAGCAATGGATGGTTTAAAGACTACAGTAATATGAGAGGATAATTAAAAATAACTAGTTATGTATCCATACAGTAAATATTGTTCAGATATAAAAAGGCAGGTTTTAACCAATACAACATAGATGAACCTCAAAGTCATCATGTTGAAAGAGAGAAGTAAAAGACCAGAGTGTACATATCATATGATTCCATTTATGTAACAAAATAAAATAAATGTAAATAGTCAATGTGACAAAACGCAGATCAATGCAGCCATGGATAAGGGGCAGAGAGAAGAATGTGTTGCAAAGACACAGGGAATATTTGGGGCTATTGAGAACACTCATATCTTGACTATGAAAATGACTTCACGTGTATGTACATCCATCTAAACACATCGAGTAGACTACATAAAACACGTGTAATTATTTACACATTATGCCTAAAACACAGTTAATTTTTTTTACAAGGCTGCTAGCATAAGAGTTCTAGAACCTCTGTGTTCCTCAGCCATGCTATACTTATGTTGCAAAGAACACCCAAGTCACAGTGATTTACTCCGATAAAGGCTGATTTCTGGTTTATGTTGGGTGTTGGCTGTCGGTCAGCTATGGCTCCACTCCATAGAAGCCCCTGGCTCCAGTGTCTGCTCCACATACCACACACACATGGGCTGAGCTCTTACTGAAGCGTCTTAAAATCAACAGACAGCCAAGAGTCGTTAGAGACGCGATGAACACATTTAATATGGAGAAACGAGGCCAACAAAAGCAAGCAGAAGAGAGAGCTCGAAGAAAACAGAGATCTTAAATAGAGGGGAAGGGTTTAACTGTGCCGCTTTACCAAGCAGTCCGGCCAGAGTGTTCCAGAAGGTGCTTTTCTTCTGGGAGATGTAATTTACACTCAATGTGTTTAAACATACTGAAGGGGGATCTGTACAGTTTAAGTGAAGTTTGAATTTGGTGATCAGTACGTAGATACTAAATAACAATAATGATCCGTTAAAAGCAAGTGTAGCTATAAACTCCATGGAAAACAAAATATTGGACAGGGTAGAGAAGAATAAGAAGTTACATGAATACCTAAATAAACGTTTACATTGTCTTGATTATTTGGACATAGCACAGACGTTGACATAGATAAAATTGCTAGAGAACCATATCCCATGGCTAGCGACTACATGTATGTTTGGGAAGCAAAGTGAGCTGAACTTCACCTTCCAAGTACAAAAATCAATGTGATACTAAAGGCTAAAAAGTGGTGCCCAGATAAGTATGACATTAATAGAAGATAGGAACTCTTGTTTCCAATAGGCTTGCCTCCAAGAGAGAAAGATTTCCTAAGGACCTCAGGAAAGATTCACAAACAGAATCAGAAAAGTGATAGGGAAATCCCATCATCCTCTGCGTTCTTTTTTTAGTGGAATATACTCTCCACATTCCATGTGCATTTTTAAAATTGTGGTGTGCTTGTGTACATGATGTGTGTGAACATGTATATGATATATATATATGCATATATGGGTATACGTTCGTGAGTGGGGGCATGCATGCACATGCCATACGGTGCTCATGGAGCTCAAAGAACATAGCTTGATGTGTCAGTCTTTGCTTCCTACCTTGTTTGGGACAGGGTCTCTTACATTCCACTGTCAGGGCACTGCATAAGCTAGCTGACCCTTGAGTCTCCTGGGGTTCTTCTCCTGTCTCAACCTTCCATCTTGCCCTGGAAGTGCTAAGATTATGGACATTTGTTACCACAGCAGCTTTACATTGGGTTCTGGTGATCCAAACTCAGATGCTCATGCTTGTACATTAACCATGGAGCCATCTCCTCCGCCTGCATGCACATTTCTTTGGTCTTTTCATTATTCATTTCTTTTTATTTTGTAGCTCAAAGGACCAATTCCAGGGCCTCACCCAGGCTAGGAAGGAGCTTTACCACTGAGTTTTAGCTGAGCATGTGATCATCGGAGTCAATTTTCCAGTTTCTTTTCCTACTAATATGGACTATGTTACCAAACTCACAGGGACACAAAAGGGATTTTGGCAACTTCTGGAATCCTCTTGTTCTCTCTTTCCACTTTTGCCTCTTCTCTGAGATGCAGGTGTCAATAATATGAACAAAGACAAATTTCTAAAAATCACTGAAGCAACAAAATAGAGGGCAACTGGCTCTGTGTGCCCAAGGGAACAGAGCAGCCACCTGAGCCTGCCCATCCATTCACACTCACGTGAAACAGAAACAACCCTTGCTCTTAGCCAAAGGACTGTGCAATAATGTCCCAATCACGGTTAAGTGATTCTTGTTATAGCAGCCACACCAAGGACCTAAGAGACTAGAACACCTGGCCAGAGTCCATGGACAAGATGCAGACAGAAAAGAGAAACTTGGGGCCCAGGAATAATGTCATGTGTGTTGAGAAGGAGATGCCAGAAGAAGCTGAGCACAAAAATGTAGCTCAGGGAAGCCATGCTTGCAATTTCACCTATATCTTAGAAACTGAGAACTCTCGGGTCCTGTGTACTAATTAATGGTGGCAAGTCTGTCACTGTAACAGTGAGAAAATAATCTGTAATCTAATGCATGTGTTTAAAGAAAAATCTGCGTATCAGTAGAGGACATGCAAACCACGTGTTTCAGTTAGTGGACAGCATTTGTGGACTTCATGAATGTCCTAGGTGAACCTGGTTGGTTTTCCTCCATTCAAAAAGTATCAGTTCAGGTACTTTGGAAATCATTTACTTGGTATAGCACAGCAAGTTTTCAAGGACCTGGGGAAAATTTTCTTATTTAATACAGCACATAAAATAGGCATTTCTAATGATAAAGTTATC